CACCCCAGAAACCTGCAGTGTCTTGTGTCCGGACCTCTAGGCCCTGTCCGGTGGGGTGAAATGACACTGAAAAATCACCCCGTTATTTTTCGAGGGGCGGCCACAACCCGAAAAACGTCCTGGGCCGCCCCCTTTATTTTTATTTCTCCCAGGGGGCCTCCATCCGGATATCAGGACCAGACACCGGACACCGGACACCGGACTGTCTGGAACCCGGTCTGGACATCCGGAAGGTTACCATGCTGATCACAGCTACCAATATAATACCTGTTTCCATCAGGTTAGAATTTGTTTCTGATCCATAGGTTCCTTACGCTAAATAATGCTGAAAGGATTTAATGCATCAGTCCCAGTCCCAATTGGTCCCGGTCCGACGTTGTTCCGGTAGATCGAGTCCCAGGGTTCATAGGTCGAAGCGTCATAGGTCAGTAGGAGTCGGGTACCAAAACGTCACGGGTAGGTGGAAGTCCACAGGGACCGCCAGAGGAAGTCCAGTCCAAAACTCCAATTTTGCAGCAGCGTCCAAAGAAGTCCGGAGCCTTCCGGAACACCAATTTTGGCAGCAGAGGCCACGGGCAACCAGTACTGGTCTGAAGCAGGCACATACAGTCCACTTCAGCTATTAATAGCTGCTATAGTGTCAAGGCCATCAGATTGTTCATTTGAGAAGTCTCGGAACCACTGCTGGTTGCTTGTGCGATCGCACGACCAGGACAGAGAGAGGCACTGGGGAAGAAGCAAGCGCCCCGGCAGAGTCAGCCATAGTTAGTGTAAGGAGGAGGAAGACAGCAGCCATAGCCACAAACTTCCAAAGTGACATACCCTAGTTGCATTCAGGGTAAATCTTAGTGAGGGAGGAAGAGCTTGCGCGCATCAGAGGGGTTAAAGTTCTCTGATGCTTTATTTTTTCTTTCTGCTTGTCCGTAGGTAAAAGTTCTCAAAGGCTCACTTTCTTCACTGGATTTTATTTCAAGGAGAGAGAGAGAGAGAGAGAGAGAGAGAGAGAGAGAGAGAGAGAGAGAGAGAGAGAGAGAGAGAGAGAGAGAGAGAGAGAGAGAGAGAG